AAGAGGTTCGCAATCGACAATTGACGGTAGCCATCCTTCTGGATCCCTATGCTTTCTAGTCCTTATTGTAGCTAAGTTAGAGCTTCTCAGACCGAGGTTTGAAGAGGTCGAGCCTAAATGAGGCTGCTGCCTCTCCATGCAAGCGAGAGCGGGTCGTGGTAAGACTGGTGCTGGTCGACCTTGTAAAAATTAGTCAATGGTTGCTGGGGGACGGATACTACTCGTACATTGCAAACCCTCCATAGGCACTCCCATCTTACAATCTGGAAAGGCGAAGTGTCGTTGCTTCGACTACTCCGGCCTTGATCTCGGACACGTCTTTTTGACTTTTCGCGCAGGTAGCGGACGTTCCGTCACTCGAAGCGAGTGGGGACGCTACCTCGCAGTCAGCGAGGGCGCACAACCGTCAATCATCGTAGAATTCATCTTCATCTTCGTCGAAGTCTTGCAGTTGCTCAAAGTTGAGCGCATAACGGAGGATGGCGCCGATACCACCAAAGCCCTTGACGAACTGGTTGCCCTCGGAAGAACGGTCGGAAACAAACTCCAGGTTGGCACCAAAGTCGCGGTACTTTTCGGCGAGCCACTCAAGCATAGAGCCTTGATCGATGACTTCCATCTCTTGGCCGGTTTCCTTGTCCATGAATATGCTTCGGTCCTCTTCTTGCTGCTTGGTGGTGTGGAGGATGATTTCCGCGCCCGCAGAGCTCTTGAGAACCCAGCGAGTGATCTCCAGGTTCTCAAAGACAATCAGAGTCTCAGCAGCACCAGCCTCCAGAGCCTTCAGGGTGTCGTCGATACCGTAACAGACCTTGCCGGAGTCCTTGGAGATGTGGTCAAAGTACTCGTTGATGAGCTTCTTCTCCTGAATGAACTTGACGTTGCTGAGGGTCTCGCCAGCCAACTCGATGGCCTGGTTGAAACCGTTCTCGCCTCCGTAGGACACGTCGACGACCTTGATGACCTTGGACTGCAGACGGTTATCGAAGAGATCGGACTGGTTGAGGTCGTTCTTGAAGTCGGCGGAACCAGCGAGAATAATACCGGCTACGTTGACCTTGTCGGCGGTGATGAAGTTCTGTACAGCCAGTTCGGCGACCTTGCGGACGTAGTTGTGGCGCTTCTCTTCACGGAGACGGGCGAAACGCAGAGCGGATTGACCACCACGGCCGTGCTTCTTGGGGAGATCGACGGAGAACCTGCACCGATTAGTGACCTGTATGCTAAAAGGTATTATTGGTCGCACTCACTTGTGGACAATCTCACGCGTGTTTCCTGACAGAGTGCCAAAGAGCGCACCGTTTCCGTCCATGATGATGAAGCCAAACTTCTGATCCGACTCGAGCAGCTCGCTCAGGGCCTCGGTATGGAATTTGTTGTCGCAAAGGTATAGCGACGTGTTGATGGGCTTGAAGGGCTCGAAGTCGATGTTGATCTTGCGCTCCTTGCCTTCTGCGGTGATAATTTCACCGCAGTAGACAACAAGGCCATTGGGCGGGACCTTTGAGTAGAGCTTGAGGCGCTGCTGGGTCGAGGTAATGGCCGACAGGACGGAGAGACGGTTGACGCGCGACTTGATGTTGGAGGCGGTACCCTGGAAAATTAGTAACCGCGCCGTCGCAGGGTGTCCTGGTACTCACGAATTCTTCAGCCAACATCTTCGCGGCACGTGAAACCTGATCCTTGGGCGCTACACATGGTCAGTCTGCGGCATTTTGCTAGGTCGTCAGGTGTCACATACGGATGATGAGGGAAATCATGGATGTGCCATTTCCGCGGGCTGCTTCGAGACGCTTGATTAGCTTCTTGACCTTCCAGATCTCAATATTCTTTTCAGCCTCATTGGGCTGCTCATTCTTCCCGGACGACATGGTCGCGGCGGTGGTGTCGAGGTGAGGTAGTGGTGTTGGTGGGGTCGAGAGATTTTCTTGTTCGGCGAGGGGCAAGAACAAGCGACGTAGCTGCCGACTGGCGGCGGGAGGAGGGTGGAGAGCGCGGCCTGTGACTACTGCGCGCCTTGGCTACGTGAATGCGAAAGTCTTCAGGAGAGGCAAACGGCAGCCCACTCGGCTTATGTGAATTTATTTGTCCCTGACTGTGCCCATAAGGCAGCACAGTCACGGTAGGGCAGTCGACTGGGCGCTGACAGAGGCTCGCTTGCACGGCCACTCAGCGGGCGGCGGGCATGGAGAGCAGCAGCAGCGCATGTGCAGTAACCCGTTATCAGCGCGTGCCTTGGGTAGCTCCGGCTGGGGGCAGCTATGACGGCAGACCGGCGGGGCCGCATGAATCCCTCGTGATAGCCATCTTGACGTTCTGCGTCTTTCTATGGCAAAAGTGCCTCGCTCGGCGCTTCTTTATATAATCAGGACGGTCATGGATAGCGGCTATCACCCGCAATCCACCAGGCGCAATCTCATCCCGACGATAGCCAGCTATCGACTCAAGTAGCTCCCGCCTCCCTGCAGGGTTTGAATCAACAGTTTTAGACGATATATCGCCTGGCCTGCCCCATACGTTCTTCTTGGTCGCGCCTGCTCCATCTGTCGTGACGCCCTGACGTACTCACCATGGATAACAGAGGGAAGCAGCCATCCGCCTGGAGCGCCTACGACTCCAACCGCCCATCCATCGACTCGGACACGGAGAGCCATGTGCAGTGGGACGAGCTCTCGAGGCGGCCCAGCGGAGAGAGCAATGCCGGGAGGTGGACTGGCACCGCGGGAGAGCTGCGCAGGCGGAGGTGAGCATATCGCGCCGCTCGCGTGACACGGCAGCTAACAGAAAGCAGGTCTTCCGTAGGACAGCAGATTAGCGCACTGGGCGAAGTTGGAGGCGTTAACAGTATCAACAACTTTGCGCGATCGTGGCAGCGTGCGGCAGGCTTCTTCGAGATCACCCCCGTGCGCCCTTCCTTCCGCGTCGAGACAGACGACGAAGACGGCGACGACACAGAGGAGTCCGACTTCTCGCGCAGCGGACTGCCCACGCCAGTACCCGACCAGCGATCCGCCCTGCGACAGGCCTTCCAGAATGAGGGCAGACGCGCATCCGACAATGCCATCACAGACGAAGAGAATGGCGCGACCGAGCGGAGCCAGCTGCTGCCCAACGGCGTCGAACAGCGCCTGAGAGGGAGAGGGTCGAGCATTTTCCAGATCGAACCTTCGCTATCGTCACCCTTCGGCGCGAGCTATGGCACGGGATACGGCAGTCTGAGTTCGCGCGTCAACGAGTCGTCCATGCGCCATGCCGGCCGACTCTTCACAGAGCAACAGATGAAGGGCGTTGGGGAGCCAGAACAGGAACGAGAGCCACTTCTGGTCAAGCAAGTCGAAGAGGACGGACACATCATAAACGTGGTCGTTGGCCAATCCACACTTCCCCAGACAATCTTCAACTCCGTCAACGTTCTGGTCGGCGTTGGACTGCTCACATTGCCACTTGCGCTCAAGTACTCTGGATGGCTGATAGGCATGGTTTTCCTAGCGTGGTCTGCCATAGTAACCGGCTACACTGCAAAGCTACTTGCTAAGTGCCTTGATGTCGATGGTTCCCTTATCACCTTTGCTGATCTTGCGTACGTCTCTTTTGGAACAAAAGCGCGGGTAGCCACCAGTATTCTATTCTCTTTGGAGTTGCTAGCAGCATGCGTAGCACTGGTCGTGCTTTTCGCTGACAGCATGGACGCTCTCATCCCCGGTTGGGACGTTTTCCAGTGGAAGATTGTCTGTGGGCTGATCTTGATACCATTGAGCTTCTTACCCCTCCGCTTTTTGTCATTCACATCTATCTTGGGTGTAATGTCTTGCTTCGGAAGTGAGTTAACAACTATCTGCATCATATATGTCAACTAACATATAATAGTCACCCTCGCTATCTGGGTCGATGGACTTGCCAAACCCGACGCTCCCGGCTCCATCCGCCAGCCCATGACTCAATACCTGTTCCCCGACAACTGGATGACCGTGCCACTCTCGATTGGTCTACTCATGTCTCCTTGGGGTGGCCACTCTGTTTTCCCAAACATCTACCGCGACATGCGACACCCATACAAGTACAGGAAGGCCGTCAATGTCACCTACATCTTCACCTACTTGATCGATGTCGGTATGGCTTGCGCTGGTATCCTCATGTTCGGAGACGGTGTCAAAGAAGAAGTGACGAGCAACATCTTCCTCACCAAAGGCTTTCCTCAAGGCATATCCGTTTTCATCGCCATCTGCATTGCCATCATTCCGTTGACCAAGATCCCGCTCAACGCACGCCCCATCGTCAGCACCTTGGAAGTCCTCTTCGGTCTGGACACGCGCTCTCTGGCCATGTCCTCGTCCATTGACGGCATGAGCGGACTCACTCGAGGAGCGCTCAAGATCACCCTTCGTATCGTTACCATCGTCATATTCGTCATCATCGCAATCGTATTTCCTTCATTCGACCGCATCATGACACTCCTCGGCAGTGTCGCCTGCTTTAGCATTTGCATCATCCTACCCTTGGCGTTCCACTTGGAATTGTTTGGAAAAGAGATATCCAGTGGGGAGAAGACGATGAACTGGGTGTTGATCGTCGTCAGCACTATTATGGCTATCATCAGCACTGTTTTTGCATGCCTGCCCAAAGAGATGATTGGGGCTTAGGAACGAAAGTATGGAGATCATGACGATGTCGGAATGATTATAGTTGTCTGGTAATGTGTTTGTTTAGTAAAAGTTTGATATCCGGGTGGTAATAGGCATGGCGTTCTTGTGCATTTGGAGGGTTGTTCTCGATATGAAATATTATTTTGCATAGCATCAAGTGAGTTTGAGGTCTGCATTCTCCCAATGTGCTTCTTGAGTGGTGGCCCAAATCGAGGCTAGATTGCACTCCACTTTGCTCTTTCTCCTTTCACTGATGGTCTTTGCCGCTTAGACTAACTTGACTTTATCGCCTAGTTCTGTCTCTCAACATACACTCTTGATTAGCCGAGGGCATTCGTTCATCGCAAGTTCCGCTCCATGAGGTTTCCACTGTTGTCGGCGGCTTCTACCCTGGCCATTGTTATCACATTCGCCCATTGCGATACTACCTTCACCTCCAAGACCAACGTCACCTTTACCAACGAAAATCACTTCGATGTCCGAGCCGACGACGACCCATGGACACTGTCTGTCGCCCGCGGTGCCAAACTCCTCCAAGGCATGAAGGCCAGCGACGCCGAAGCTGCCACTCTCTACAATCTAGGCACCACTGCCGAAAGCCCATTCGACGGCGATCTAATCGACAAACTACGCGAATGGGGCTACAACGATGCGACCGACGCTCTCGCCAAACAAGCAGACCCGGAATGCAATTTCGACAGCCAGAACGGGCATATGCTGAAGAAAGCCTTTGGCGATCTAGGCATTGGGACAAAGAGCAAGAGCCAAGGCGGCCGAAACCAATGTTTCCTCATCGAGCATTTCGACAGTCCGGCTGTGAAGAAGGGTGACGATGGCAAGATGCCCGCCAAAGCCGACCAACGGTACGACGTCTGCGAAAAAGAATACCGCGTCACGAATGCGGAGCACACTCTTGGCGTCAACGCAGGAGCCGGCGCTGTATACGCCATCCAACTTTCTTCCGCCGCAAAAGCTGCACGCCGTCTATGGAAACGCGCTCCCCTTGCCGAGGAACTCCCAGCTATACGCAGCGTCTCCGACATCGCATGGGCGTTCTGGAATCGCGTGCATACCGATGCGGAGAGTCTGCAAAATATCAAGTACCTGTTTGTCACAATGATCATCAACAAAGAAACAAACCAGCATGTCAAGCGTGCGCTGGGCACCCTGTCACCGCCGAAAGAGGATGCGGAAGGCTGGCCAGGACATGACTTCAGCCTGGAGACGGACGCGGGAAAAGCGCTGCTAGGAAGTCCTGTTGGAAGGTGGGCTGGTTACTTCCTTATGCAGCATAAGAGACAGTTGGGTGGTAACAAATACATCTCAAAGGTAAGAGTGTTCAAGTCGGAGAAAGAGGGTAGTTGGCCGTACTTTTTATTCTATGTTGATGGCGCCACAGCGTCTGCTGCGAGCGACGAGGGGATTATGGATCTGGCTGGGAAACCCAGCGAGCCTCGAGTAGTACGAAAGAGTGAGGATGGAAGGCGTATTGTTCGCGAGCATGTTGTGAGAATGAAGCTGTGAAAGCCATGAAGGTGGGCGTCAAGCGTTGCTTTCAGCCATATTCATCGAACCTTTTGTCAGTACAGCACTCGTAAATACATACCGACTCAAACCAACGCATGAACAAACGTGGAGAATCCAATGTCGTCTTCAAAGGAAACTCAGTGTAACAACAGCGATGGTGGAATACCCCAAGGCTGACTAACGCGCATCGGCCCCATCCGCGGCTGAACCTCCGATGCGCAAAGCTTCAAGTACGTCAATCCAGACAAAAACTACAGCCCGCACTTGCAACCAGCCACACCGTCTTCGTCCTCCACCCGAATAACCTCCCGATACATACCGGCGCAGTCTCGCGACCACACATACACACAAGAGAACAAGATGGACTCCCTAGGTGGTGGCGGTTTCGGCAATGCCGACTTGAGCAAGCTGTCCGACCGCGACAAGCAGGAACTGCAGCAATTCGCTATGAATGAGGGACAGAAGGCTAGGATCCAATCTTGTATGTTTTCGCATTCTCTTAGAAGCTTTCTTGGGGTGCATTGGCTCCGTGTGTCATGGCTTCACATCCTCCCTCTGTGGATACAACAGCCCACAATACCGTGCACCCAAGCACCTCCCAATTCCCACTCCCATAAGTACCCATTCGCTAACTCAACTCCTCCAAATAGCGATACACTCCCTCACCGACACATGTTTCCGCAAATGCATCCCCGCGGGCACCGTCAAGGCGGGCAAATTGGACAAGTACGAGGAGCCGTGCATGAGGCAGTGTGTGGATCGGTTCTTGGATGCGAATATGGTTGTGCTGAGGGAGTTGGAGAGGTTGAGGGGATAGATGGGGTACAAGAGAAGAGAGGGGAGGGGTGAGACGGGAGTGTATGATAATGAGACTTGATGATCTGTACAACACTGCATGGCGGGAAGCGTTGGGTGCATGTCATTGGAAATGGAGATATGAGGTACATCATAGACCTGCGTCCAGCATTGCATTGATCTCTCCTACCCAGCAAACTTTCATGGTTTTTCGAATCTTTCTGTAATCGAAAGATCAAGCTACGTCGCATGTCCAGGAATCACAATTCAAGAAAGAACGGTGTCACAGCACGGAAATGTAAAGGTTGTTGAGGACCAAGTCCAACTTGGCGTCATGTGGAAATCTGATTCATTCGAGTCACCGTGACTACGTTTATCCCATGAACGCCCGCCATGCATATCACATCGCTTTTTCCATTGCCGGGTATAACCAGACCCTATCATGACCATGCCTTCCCTTATACAGAGACCACCTCTTTAAACGATGGCGAGCTTGGTGGCCGCAATGTCGAGAGCGTCGACATCGGCGGTGAGGCGGCAGAAAGCCTTCTTTGAGCCGTCGGGGCGGATCAGGGTGTTGATCTTGACGCAGCTGACGTCGTACTGCTTCTTGAGGGCGGCGGCGATTTGGCGCTTGTTGGCCTTGACGTTGCAGATGAAGACGAGGGTGTTGTTCTCCTCGATCTTCTTCATGGCCGACTCGGTGTTGAGAGGGTGGATGAGAACCTTCTCGGCGTCCATGCGGGGGGCATGGGGGACCGACTTGCGAGGGTACTTGCCGGCGCGGGACAGCTCGAGGGTCTTGGGGCTGCGACACGTTAGCAGGCAACATCTCGCAGTCTTGGGGTCGGGCATACCGGTGGAAGCTGGTGTTCTTCCTGATCGCGCGCTTCTTGTTCGCATACGACTGTCATCTCGTTAATTGTGCCCATCACACGAGAAGTACAGCCCGTCAGAGGTATGTTTCTGACACGACTCAAGAGGATCAAGGGAGGCTTACGCCGCGGAGGGCCGCTTTGGCAGCAGCATTGGCCTGCTTGCCAGTCTTGGTAGGGGCTGTGAAGGATGTTAGCGATGAGCACAATAGGAGGGTCGCTGATCGAGGCGCATTCGCAAAGTTCCCTTTTCCACAGGCTGCCGCCGCGGTCCGGTGCCACTTTGCGACATGTATGCTCCTCCTCGATCTCGCGGTTGCGTGTTTGCGTTGACGTACTCTTGGATACGGCCTTGGGTCCCATTTTGGCGGTTGTGGTGGTCCTGGAGTTAGTGTCGAGAGTCGCAATCGAAAAGTTGTGGTTTTTGCTCCGGCTACAAGTCGAGTGTGGGAAGAAAGCACGCTAACACACTAGCGCCAAATCCTTGCATCTGAGCTCTCGGCTTCGCTCGACCATCACCTTACCTCAGCCATGTGACTGCAACATCAAAATCGTCATGGCCGTCAAAAAGCGCCAAAAGACTCTGTCGCATGGCCGACCACCCGTCAGCAAGCCGAAAGAGCGGATGACCTCGGAGCGCTCCAGGACTATCATTCGCACCCATCACCGACTACAGAAGGAGCATGCAGCAGCCCTGAAGAAAGGGGATGTGAGCTCGGCAGAAGAGATCGCGCGAGCTATCGAGAAAAATGGAGGCATCAAGATGTACCAGGCTGCAAGCAAGCAAGGTCAGGCGAAAGACAGGGGTGGTGATTCTAGCAAGCTGTTAGTCGACTGGCTCCAGCAATCCAAGGTTTTGGACCCCAAAGCACGGGATCGCCGCAGCGCTGGCAACGCCGAACTCAGATGTCTCGAAGTTGGAGCTTTGTCAGCTAAGAACGAGATCTCCAAGTACGCAAGCGTCATCAACATGACGAGGATCGATCTGAACAGTCAAGGGCCGGGCATCGAAAAGCAGGATTTCATGGAGCGGCCACTGCCTACATGCGACGATGAGCGCTTCGATATTATCTCCCTATCTCTCGTACTCAACTATGTTCCGGATGCAGTTGGTCGAGGCGAGATGCTCAAACGCATCACCAAGTTCTTGAGAAAGGGCGTTGCATGGACTGAGACGGCCGATTCTGTGTTGCCAGTTCTATTCTTTGTTCTACCTCTACCGTGCGTCGACAACTCACGCTATCTCGACGAAGATCTGTTTCTCGGAATCATGGGCGATCTAGGTTTTACGATGAAATTCAGCAAAAACAGTTCAAAGCTGTGTTACTACTTGTTTACCTTGACGAATGAGCCTAAGGCTACAACGGCTGAGAAAAGGAAGATCAGAGACGGACCGGGAATGAACAACTTCTGCATCGTTGTGGAATGAACGTCCAGATGACGGCAGCCTGTCATTAGTTGCTAGATTACGCCGTCCACAACTTTACTCGGCGACCAAGCAAGGCGAGAACGCGCTCAAGCGCAATTGGTTCATCATACAGGTCACAGATGACCAGGAAGATACTACTCTCGTATTATTTGGGAAGACCAAGATGTCGCGACATCGCAGCAGTTCTGGTTGGCATGGCCCTGGTCCAAGCGGAGACTCCGACGTGTGTGCTGTCACCGCGACTACGACAATTCTGGCTACACCCGAATGCAAGCGACTTCTCAGCGAACAATCTCTCTGGAAGGAGCCGATATTTAGATTGATGGTAGGAGTATCACCGACGCCATCGCGGGGCTGTTGTTGTATGCTCTAGCCTGTTGTACTTGTATGGGGAAGACTTCGGATCCACATCTACGCATCCTTACATCCGTTTATGGACTCACAGTTCTGATATGGCCAACAGTCTACAGATCGGGTTCCATCTAGGCGCAACGTGGAGAATGCGGGATCATGTAGCAGGTTCGTCGACGATGTTGCGGGCGCCTACCGAGTCAACAATATCCACCGGACCATCACCGGACTACGCTCGGTATTTCGTGTAATATATACACTGGTTCTAGACTCACTAGTAGTTACCACGCGACTGTACTACACGGCCGACAAAGTCCCGAAGTGCCACAAATCGGTTTCCTTGAAACGCTTTGGTTCCCGAATTAGTATCGCATAGCCACACAACACACTCGCGGCGTTACTGCTAAACAACGCATCATGCTACGGCTGCGCAACAGGCAGTTGTAGAACGTCGCTTGCGGTGTTCTACTTTTCAGAATCCGGTTCCCGGCAGCGAATTTTAAAAATACTGCGTGTTCCCGTCTTCTCATCTCACGCATGTTTGATCGCCTTTTAGCGCATCCTACGCCTTAGCGCCACACGACTCACAATGCCCCCAACTCATCATACCAAGCATTGACACAAGCATTTTCTGAAACGGACTCTGACTTGCTCAACCCCAAACGCCCGTCAATCAACGGATGCATATCACTGGGGCTGGACTAGAAAAAGGCGAGAAGCGCGTGGGTACCTGGCCGGCATTTTCCCGCTACGTTCGGTGGGTCGAGACAACGGAATTGGTGATCAAGAGATGAGCTTATTCGCATTCCTCCCGAGCGCAAATTTCCACATGTTAGTTTACTGCGTGGCGCTGCGTTGGGTTAGTCAAGTAAAATGAGATGTAAGCGTTGTTCGAGGCCTTTATGTAGAGCGGGGACGCCCTTTCGTAGAGCTTCAAGCTTCTGGTAACTCTCTCAACACGAAGTCGAACTTCCATCTTTTTTTGCAAGCCGCTGAGCTGCTGCCATTCATTACTTGGACTCGTTGATACGATCCTATACAGTCTTTTCCAACAAGTCGTCGTTCGAATTCCATCTTCCGTCACTCCATCAAACAATCATCAGACACCATGAAGTCCACCTTCTTCTCTCTTCTCCCCGTCGCGGGTCTCGCTGTTGCTGAGTCCGTCTGCTCCCAGCAGACTGTCACCACTACCGCAACCGAAACAGTGTACGAGACTGCAAAGCCCGTGGATGTCGCCGACGCCACCGCTAGCAAGTCTGGCGCTTGCTCCTCCAGGAGCACTGTCTACACCACCACCTACGAGAAGGTCTACGTCACTGTCACCCCCGGTGCTGGCTCTGCTACTCCCGACGCTGTCGAGGATGTCACATCCACCAGCACCAAGGAGATCCTCACCACCGTCACCGTTCACCCAACCGGTGCTCCCTATGGCAACGCCACGACCTCTGCTCTCTTCAAGCCTGCAGGATCTTCCGACTCGCCCTCCTACCCTACCATGAGCGTCCTCCCGACCACCAAGCTAGACTACAGCTCGCTTGCCTACACTCCGATCCCCCAGAGTGAGGCATCAAAGTCCTACGCTGCCGCCCAGTCATCCAGCGCTGCCGCAGTGCCTGCCTCCGAGTCCAAGGCTCCAGCTCCTGCCGCATCTCAAGCCGCGGCTCCCGCTGACAAGGCTGCCGTCTTATCTGCCGCCTCCAAGCGCGGCGAAGCCACTTTCTACGGCGGAAACACTGAGGGCGGAATGTGCTCTTTCGTCGGCTACACCATCCCCGCCGGTCTCTACGGCACCGCGCTCTCCGACTCCAACTGGGACAACGGCAACGCCTGCGGTGTGTGCGTCAGCGTAACCGGCCCCGATGGTAACAAAATCACGGCCATGGTCACCGACCAATGCCCAGGGTAAGCAATCCCACCGTACGAATCTCACAAGAAATAACCACTAACCCCACCACAGCTGCGGCCCCAACCACCTCGACCTCTACCCCGACGGCTTCGCCAAACTCGCCGCCCCCTCCAAGGGCGTCATCAACGTCGACTGGACCCCCGTCCCCTGCGGCATCACCACCCCCATCGTCCTGAAAAACAAATCCGGCACCTCCAAATTCTGGTTCAGCATGCAAGTCATGAACTCCAACGTGGCCGTCTCCAAACTCGAAGTCTCCGTCGACTCTGGCAAGACCTGGCAGCCGACTACACGCAAGCCGTACAACTTCTTCGAGAACCCGGCTGGCTTTGGCGCGGATAGCGTCGATGTTAAGATTACGAGTGAGGGCGGTAAGGAGATTGTGGTCAAGGGCGTTAGTATTGCGGCGGATAGTAAGAAGACTGCTGGTGGCAACTTTGCTTAGAGTGCAGTGAGAC